CAGAAATAGATTTGAAGCAGACAGCTGTGTTTTTAAAGTTAGTAAAATCTGTTCAGTTATGGTCACGGTGGGGAGCAGGGAGAGGGCATTTCTGAGAGAGTGCAAGGGCCTTCCCCAGCCTCTGCCAACATAACAACAGGCATAGCTATGCCCGATACTGCTGGCTCTGATCAAACACATCCATTTGCTTACGAGAAACAGGATTCTTGTGCTAAGAATGGCAACTGTGGATGCTTTACACTTTTCTGTAAATTAGGAAAAATTCAACCAGAGATACAGAAGACAAAAACATTAACAGGTGGTTCCTCAGACCAGTGTTTTTTTGTTCAAGAGGTGAGAAATGAAAACCACCACACCACAGACCTACTTCTCCGCTGAGGGTTCGGGCATTGTTATGTCTATTAATACATGCTCCCCCGATCTCAGGACATCCATTTCTATTTCCTACTTGGAAGAGCATGAACTTCTCCCCACTGCTGTTGCATAGTGTATGTCCAACTCAGAGCTTGTTTGGGCACCAGACTGGTGCTGGGGTCTTGTGCACTTTTGTTGCTAGGGTCCAGCTCAGGGGATTTCCAGAGGAAGCATTTCTGCCAGATGAGAAGGATGCTAAGTTGTGGAATCTGCTACTTTCTAAGAGCAAGGGCTTCCTTCCAAGTTGCGTTTAATCCAAGAGGGTCTCTTTGGGCGTTATGATGGTTAACGCTGGGCTATGATCTCAATGGTTTGGCAGTTTTGTAATGTGTAGTTTGGCAGTTATGCAATTATGTAATTTGGCAATTATGTAATGATGTAGTTATCCTCCATGATGTGATCTGATGTGAGTTGTAAAAAGAGTTTCCATGGGGGTTGCAATGTGATTGATTACTTTTGTGTGGCCTTTCTAGCCATGGTCTTATAACTCCCACTCAGGTGACTGGGCAGGACCGTGTGATAGGGTAATCCAAGGGGTTTGGTCAGTTTTGCCTTAAAAGACAGCCAGTTCCAGAGCAGAGAGGAGGAGCCCACCACCACCAAGGAAGGTTAGCAGGAGAGACCCAGCAGCAGAAGATGGCACGATGGGCTTCCCAGCCCATGGAGAGAGAAAACTGAGTGCTTCTGGGCAGAGACTGAGGGCTGGGGAGAGGTGTGTCTTTGAGCACGGCTGGGAAGAGGCTATCATGATGAAAGAACAGTATCCTGAGAGTTCCTGAGCCTGAATTGTAACTGTTACTTCCCTTATAATAAACCCCATAACAGTGAGTATGCTCTGTGAATTCTGTGTGGTCATTGCAATGAATTACTGAACCCATCAGAGAAGTAGACAGTGCTGTGGGAGGGATGGTTGGTGTCAGAATTGGTAAAGATGGTGGAGAGAGGAGGCATGTCTGATACCTGCCTCATAAGAATCAGCCTTGGGCTGTTAGTCTTGGTTCTCCTTCCCCCTTGTGAAGTCAGAGGAGGTCAGACACTGCCCGCAAGCCATTTTTACAAGGGTGTGGCCGGCATCCAATATATATATGGACGTTCTGGCAAAGCTTGCTTGCTTGCTCTGGATCCTGCATCAGGCTTGTCATCATCTGACCTCCAGTTCTTGGAACTTGAGCCAGCAGCCTGCCATACTGCCTGTAAGCCAACACACTGCTGTTTTACCTGCCAATCTTGTGTTCGTCAACCCCTGCAGCTACATTGAGTCAGGAGAAGCCTCCAGCCTGATGCCTGACCCATGGATTTGGGACTTGCCAGACTCTACAACCGTGTGAGCCGTTTCCTTGAGATAAATCTCTGTCTCTCTCTATGTGTGTGTATAGGTATGTACGTATATATACATATGTATGTATATATAAACCAAACCTGTTGCTGTCGAGTCAATTCCGGCTCTTAGTGACCATATAGGACAGAGTAGAATGGCCCCATAAGATTTCCACGGGGTGGCTGGTGGATTTGAACTGCTGACCTTTTGGTTAGCAGCTGAGTTCTTGGAAACCCTAGTGGCATAGTGGTTGAGTGTTATGGCTCTGCTAACCAGAAAGGGTGGCAGTTCGAATCCACCAGGCTCTTCTTGGAAACCCTATGGGGCAGTTCTACTCTGTCCTATAGGGTCGCTATGAGTTGGAATCGACTTGACTGCAATGTTTTTTTTTTGTTTTCCCTTCACTGGTTTTGCTTCTCTAGAGAACCCAGCCTAAGACAGGCATTCATTGGATTGAATTGTTCTTTGCTGATGCCTGAGAGTTGTTAGCAGAGTGTTAACCTTGGATGAAAGCAAAATATTTGCTAAGTGTCTAATAGCCTGGGAATGTTGAAAGCAGACCCCTAGCCTGGTTTTCATTAGCTACACACGAAGGAGGGCGACGATGGTGAACGATATCGTTCCTGATAAAGATTCCTAAAAGCCCGAATCTATGTCACGGAAATCCCATTCAGTAATGAGTCATACTAAAGCAGGCCCTATCTGTTTCACAAACTAGAGAAAGGGACTTTTTTTTGGGGGAAAGAACTAGAAATGTTTATATAACTATTGATGGCCCTCACCATTTATAAGTCTGTTTGTTTCCCTGTTTTGTTTTTCTCAGCAGCATGGAAGGCTCATGACAGATTGTCTTCCAGGAAGGAATGTCCGAGTGTGAGGGTAGAGCCATAACCTCCACCTCTGCCTCATGAAAACACTCAGTTACATACCAGAGCAAGGACTGAAAGGTGGAAGGGGACAGCTTCAAGACCTAATTGATTTTCAAGTAGACAAGGATACAGCACACAGAACAACCCTTTCATTTCATGCCAAAGTGCCCCTTTGGTCTCAAGGAGATGGAATCACCATGAGCCTCCCAAGCTTTGATAACTGAGATGCAGCAGTAGCCACCACAATGGAGTCCTCTCCCCACCCAGTGAACATAAGGAACAAGAAGTCCTCTGGACCAGATGAGACAGGAGGTGATGAGGCCTAAGAGTCAAGCCAAACCCAAGACAAATATCCTGAGTAGTCTGGTTTGAGCACATCTCTGGGATGTACCTGGGCTCTTGCTGAGGAAGAGGGCAGGAAGCCAGGCATACCTGTCTCCAGGAATCCCGGGGAAGATGCTCTGAGGGATCAATGCTGGTTTTGGTATTACAACTGTTATGGGTTGAATTGTGTCCCCCAAAAATGTGTGTCACTTGGTTAGGCCATGATTCCCAGTATTGTGTGACTGTCCACCATTTTGTCATCTGATGTGATTTTTCTATGTGTTGTAAATCCTATCTCGATGATGTTAATGAGGCAGGATCAGTGGCAGTTATGTAATGAGGCAGCAGTCAAGCTGCAAGATTAGATAGTGTCTTAAACCAATCTCATCTGAGATATAAAAGAGAGAAGCAAGCAGAGAGACATGGGGACCTCATACCACCAAGCAGGAAGTACCAGGAGCAGATATGTCCTTTGAACCTGAGGACCCTGTGCTGAGAAGTTCCTAGACCAGGAGAAGATTGATGACAAGAACATTCCGCCAGAGCTGACAGAGAGAGAAAGCCTTCCCCTGGAGCTGGCCCCCTGAATTTAGACTGCTAGCCTGCTAGACTGTGAGAGAATAAATTTGTCTTCATTAAAGCCAGCCACTTGTGGTTTTCTGTTACAGCAGCACTAGATAACCAAGACAATATCCAAGGGAGAGGGAGAGGGAGAATCGACGAGCCGTCCTCACTTCGAATACAATGTCTATCATTCAGGATGCACATCTCAATCCTGGACAATACATCATAATCAAAAGACTGGTTTTTATATGAAAATGTTTTAAAAGATTCACAGAATATAATAAAGATAAACAAACAAAATAAACAGGTGCCACCAAGTCAATTCTGATTCACGGTGACCCTATGTGCATCAGAGTAGAACTGTGCTCCATAGGATTTTCAATGGCTGATGTTTCAGAAGTAGATCGCCAGGCTTTTCTTTTGAGCCAACTCTGAACCTCCAACCTTCCAGTTAGCAGTCTAGTGTGTTAACTGTTTGCACTACCCAGTGACAAAGACAAGAATAGTAGTAGCTAAACTGAATTTGTCATGCAGCAAGGCCAATAAACAGAATGGTTTCAGGCTGAAGATCTAAACCTGTGCTGTCCAATATGGCGGCCACAGCTAGCACTTGACATGAGTCTGGTCTGATCTGAGATGTGTGTAAGTGTGAAATACACACGATTTCAAAGACTTAATCAGAAAAGAAAGGTAAAGTATCTCCTAAATATTTTTTTTGAATAGATTACATATTGAAACAACAATATTTTGGATATATTTGGCTTAATAAAATGTTACTAAAATTAATTTTACCTTTTAATTTTATTTTTAAATTAATTTTACTTTTAAAAAATGTGGTTATTAGAAAGTTTAGAATTACATATGTGGCTTGCATTATATTGCTATAGGACTACACTAGTTTAGAAATATGGATTCTAATCCTGGCTAATCCAATGTCTACTGAGTGGCAATTAGGGCAAGCTCACTGAACGCAGATTTTCATCCGCAAAATAAGCCCAACTTCCTTCACAGCTAAAAGAACAGCTGGAAATACTGTCCATACTATCAAGTTGGCAGCCTCTTCTTGTTTCTTGTCAGGAAACAGGGCCATTCTGTATGGTTGAATAGGCTGTGGACTGCACAAAGATGCTACATCTAAATTAGGGGGAAGGGATGTGCCATTCACAGTGCACACACACACACACATTTGTATATTTATCATAACAGTGTACTGGTACATGGAAATAAGCATCTTCTTCTAACAAACTGAATACATTACAATAGTTTTCCAAAAAATGGAAGGACACTGTCAAGACACCAAGTCCTCCCTGAACTCCACTCCAGGGACGAGCTGCTTTGCTGGTTTGGCCTCCATCTCAGGCCCAAACCTGGTGTATCTGCCGACAGCAGCTCTGTGACCACATTCAAGCCTCAGTTGTACAATATCTAAAGTGTCATTGGTATCTGGCGTCAAAGAATTACAATACCCAGCTGGACCAGGGCACGGGCTGGCCCAGGAGGGCGCCACTTACCTTTTCATTTTTCTTCTCATCTGGTTTGCATCCTGTGCTGGTGGGGCTGGATGTCAACAAGCCACTGACGGGCCCCCCGCCGGTCTCCCCACTGAGGTTGGCCGCGCTGACGTTGGGAGGGGTGATGGCTGACGCTGCTGACGTGAGGGGGATGACCGGCCGGGGGCACTGACCCCCGACGACCATCTGGATCGGAGGTTGGTGGACGTGCTGCGGGGACACCACAGAGTGGGGCCTGAGGCCAGCAGTGGGCAGGCGGGATGGAGAGTTCTGGGTCCGGAGGGGCGACACCGTAGCAGTTGGTCGGTCCTGGGCCTGAGCTGCGGAGTGGGCCGCTGGAGCACAGAGGAGGAGGAAAAACAGGATTGAAAGGTTAGTTTGCAAGCAGCAGTTTAATTGCAATGCAGTCTCTTTTCTCAGACTCATCCTCTGAGTGGTCACAGACTCTCACTCTGAAGAAATGTCTCCAGACCTGGCTGCAGTTATGAATCCCCCAGTTCACAGACTGAGAAACTGACGCTAAGCAACCCTGAAAATGCATTCCCACCCTTCCAAAGGCCAAGTGATTAAGGGGACCCTGCCATTATGCAAAACAGCCCTTCCCTTGGGGAGAGCTAGCGTGTCTTTTCCAAGGTTGTACAGCGAGCATGGACATGTACAGGAAGTCTTTGATCTAGTTTTCTCTGCTGTGATGAATCATCGCACTCCAAAGATGTTTTAAAACACCCTTGTTAAGATGCCCATAAAAGAAAATCTGTCAAAGAATCCTGGAGAAGCCTCAAGATGCCCCCAAATCATTAGGCACCACTGCACGTCAATGAGATGGATTGACACAATAGCCGCAACGATGGGCTCAAACCTTGAGTGATCCTGGTGATCTACTTCTGAAAGGTCACAGCCATTTAAAACTCTGTGGAGCACAGTTCTACTCTGCAACACGTGGGGTCACCATGAGCCTGACCTGACTTGATGGCAAGTGGTTTTCTTTTTTACTATTTGTGTTAGTAATTTTCAAGAGTCACAGTCTCACTAATTACAGATGAAGCAAATGAATGGGGGGAATAAATGATGCCATGGGAATAGTAACTTGTAACCTAGGCTTGGCTTATAAGGTGGAGAGGTACAGGTCGTGGCATTAGACATTACTTCATATTAAGTTTTCCATCTAACATTATGCAACTTAGATTTGGTCAGTTTTGCATAGTTATGCCAGAGAAAAAATTATATATCACTCTGTAATTCTTTCTACCACCAGAATTTGTGGCATTCATGGCTTCAGTAACATGAAAAAAAAAAAAATATGTACAATAAAAGCAATATTCTCAACCCCCAAATATACCTTGAATATATAATGCACTCATAAATCTTAACAGCATTTCCTGGGTATGTTAAATAACTTCACAAAACAAACAAAACCCACTCCATCTGCGAAGCATGCCTTCTTCCCTCTGACAGAGCTGTGTGGGAATAGCTTGGCTGATCTAATTATGTGATCATGAATTCTCCAGGACTTGATGTGGCATCCGCTGCTTCCATGAGGTGAAATATACAAAGGCTGATTTATGTTTTGTAAAAAATTATTCAGGGTTTTGGATGGGTTGAAAACCCACAGCATCTGAGTCCTCACAAAATGTGGCTCCACATTTTAAAAAGAAGAACAGGTTGGGCACCTATGCAGATCAATTAAGCCAGTGGGGTCATTTAATCATCCCTGAGGTAACCCTGTGACTTGGATGGGGTGCTCCTCAGGGGGCAATTTATTTCCCTTTCCCCTGTTGTCTGAACTCTCCTTCACCCCGGCCAATCACCTCCTAGAATGGGGAAATTACTGCTCACTCAGGGAAGAGCAATTACACTTTGGCCCTCAGAAATTCAATCTCCAAGGGCTGTAGGAGGTTATCCTGTCAGAGGGCTTTGCATAGTTCTCCTCTCTGTTCTGGCTAGCTTCCATGAGACTGCCAGAGTTGGATGCAAAATAATATTAAGCTCAGAAGCTGAAGAAGAAAGGGGTGTTCCAGAAAGCTCTAAGCCCACCCACTGTAAAACCTCTCTAACCGCATTGCCTAATACTCGTGTTCTTGTTCCAGAGTCCCTGTGTGGTGCAAATGGTTAACACGCTTGGCTGCTGACCTGAAGGTTGGCGGTATGAGTCCACTCAGTGGCACTTCAGAAGAAAAGCCCTAGGGATCTACTATTTTTTTTTCTATATTTTATTTTGTTATTGTTGTTGAGAATATACACAGCAAAACATACACAATTTCAACAGTTTCTACATGTACAACTTAGTGGCAATGATGACATTCTTCAAGTTGTGCACCCAACAATTCTCACCCTCCTTTTCTGAGTTGTTCCTCCCTTATTAACATAAACTCAATGCCCCCTAATCTTTTGAGTTTCTGTTGTCAATTTGATCCCATACAGACAGTTCTTAAAAGAGCATAATGCTCAAGGCAGACATTTTCACTAGTTAAGCTAAACTATTATTTGGTTTTAAGAAGACTTTAAAGAATATTTTTGGTTTAAGGTTTAAAGATTATCTCAGGGCAATCGTTTCAGAGGTTCATCCACCCTCCATGGCTCCAGAAAGTCTGGAATCCATGGGAATTTGCAATTCTGTTCTGCATTTTCCTCTTTTTGATGAGGATTCTTCTATGGCAGCTTTGATGAAAATGCTCAGTAATGGTTGCTGGGCACCATCTAGTTCTTCTGATCTCACAGCAAAGGAGGCAGGTGTTCATGGAGGCAATTAGCCACACATTCCATAACTTCCTCCTATTCCTGACTCCTTCTTTCTCTGATGCTCCAGGTGAATAGAGACCAATTGTTATGCCTTGGATGGCTGCTTGCAAGCTTTTAAGACCCCCGGCACTACACAATGAACTAGGAGATAGAACAGAAGCACTAAACATGTTATTAGGCCAATTAACTGGGATGTCCCATGAAACCATGATTGTAAACATCCAAACCAAGAAACCAAATCACATGAGGTGTCTGGTTGTACATAAGCAGCCTCAGCATCTATTCTTTTTTTTTTTTTTGTCTTTGTTGTAAATATATCATCATACAACTTTTGCCAATTCAACTTTTTATAGGTGTACAACTTATTGACAGCAATTACAATAATCTGCTGTGCAACCTTATCCTCAATACTATTTTTCCAGCACTGTTAACTCCACTTTTCCCTCTCTTTTCCTCCCCTAGTAAGCACTAATAAAATTTGTTCTCTATACATTTATCTTTTCGTATCGGTGAGGTCAGATAATATTTGTCCTTTTGTGATTGACTTATTTCATTCAGCAGAGTGTCTTCAAGCTCCATCCATATTGTAGCATGTATCAAGACTTCATTTCTCCTACTGGCTGAGTAGTATTTCCTTGTATATATGTACCATATTTTGTTTATTCATTCATCTGTTGATGGGCATTTAGGCTGTTTCTACCTTTTGACTATTGTGAATAGAGCTACAATGAACATTGGTGTGCAAGTCTCGTTTTGAGTCTCTGCTTTGAAGTCTTTTGGGTATACTTCTGTGAGTGGAATTGCTGGGTCATATGGTAGATCTATTTTTAATTTTTTGAGGAACTGCCACATTGTTTTCCACAATGGCTATACCATTTTGCATTCCCACCAGCAATGGATAAGGGTTCCAATTTCCCCGCATCCTCGCCCACATTTGTTATCTTCTTTTTTTTTTAATCTTAGCCATTGTGGTGGGAGTGAAATGGTATCTCATTGTGGTTTTGATTTGCATCTCTCTGATGGCTAATGATGATGAGCATCTGTTCATGTGTTTAGTGGCCATTTGAATGTCCTCTTTGGTGAAATGTCTGTTTAAGCCCTTTGCCTATTTTTTGATTGGGTTGTCTTTTGTTGCTAAGTTGTCAAAGTTTGGGGGCCCTGGTGACATAGTGGTTAAGGGTTCAGCTGATAACCAAAAGGTCAGCAGTTGGAATCCACCAGTCACTCTTTGGAAACCCTATGGGGCAGTTCTCCTCTGCACTATAGGATCGCCGTGAGTTATTTATCTTTTTGTTGTTCAGTTGTCGAAGTTTTATATATAGTTTTGTTATTAGATTCTTATCCGATATATGGTTTCCAAAGGTATTCTTCCAGTTGGTAGCTTGTCTTTTCACTTTTTTGGTAAAGTCTTCCAATGAACGGAATTTTTAAATTTTTATGAGGTCCTATTTATTTTGTCATTTGCCATCTGTGCTTTTATTATATTAGATACTCCATTGTTAAAAGGTAGGCCTGGCAATGTTGCTCCTACATTTTCTTCTAGGAATTTTATGGTTTTAGTTTGCACATTTAGGTCCTTAATCCATTTTGAATTTGTTTTTGTGTATGGTGTGAGGCATGGGTCTTGTTTCATTTTAGTGTGGAAATCCAGTTTTCCCAACATCATTTATTGAATAGAATCTTCTTTACTCATCAAATGGACTTAGCATCCTTGTCAAAAATCAGTTGACTATAGATGTGTGGGTTTATTTCTGGATTCTCAATTCTATTCCATTGGTCTATGTGTCTGTTGTTATACCAATACCAGGCTGTTTTGACTGCTGTAGCTGTATAGTATGTTTTAAAATCAGGAAGTGTGCATCCCCCTACTTTGTTCTTTCAACATTACTTTAACTATTTGAGGCCTCTTGCCATTCAATATAAAGTTGAAGATTGGTTTTTCCATTTCTGTTAAGAAGGTTGTTGGAATTTTGATTGGGATTGCGATGAATATGTAGATTGCTCTTGGTAGTATTGACATCTTAACAATATTAAGTCTTCCAATCCATGAACATGGAACATCTTTCCATTTATGTAAGTCTCCTTTAATCTCTTTTAGCAATGTTTTATAATTTTCATTGTATAAGTCCTTTATATCCCTGGTTAGATTTATTCCTATGTATTTTATTCTCTTAGATGCTATTGTAAATGGAATTGTTTCCCTAATTTCTCTTTCAGATTTCTCATTGCTGGTGTATATGAACCTAACTGATTTTTGTTTGTTGACCTTGTACGCTGCTTTGCTAAATTCCTCTATTAGGTCTATAAATTTTCTTGTGAACTTTTTGGGATTTTCTATATATAAGATCATATTATCCATGAATAGAGATAATTTTATTTCTTCTTTTCCAATCTGGATATCTTTTATTTCTTTTTCTTATCTTATTTCTCTGACTAGGACTTCTAATACAATATTGAACAGAAGTGGTGAGAGCGGGCACCCCTGTCTTGCTCCTGATTTCAAGGGGAAAACTCTCGGTCTTTCTCCACTTAGTATAATGTTGACTATTGGCTTTTCATATATGCCCTGAATCATACTGAGGAATTTCCCTTCTAT